TTCTCCATGCTGTTTTCACAATGAAAATCGAGCGAACGTTGTTTAAATACGGCTAGAATTAAAATTTTTGTTCGAGTTTACATGCAATCTGCTAATATATTTGTTTATTTTCTGTGCATATACATTTCGTGCGTATTTACTTCTTTCTTTCGTGATCGGAAGACGATTATTAAAAATACAGCTGTAAATTGAAACCACTGTAGTTGCGTATCGTGAGCAATAAGTGGCAACAATGTCCGGCGACAATGAATTCAAGCGATTGACACATAGCCATGAATACACTTGATAACTGCTTGCAGACTTCCAATGGACATTGTTTATGTTTGGACTGTTGAAACAATAGCAAAATAAAGGGTTGGGCAACTACTCTTTTGTTTAGGCTTGGGAAGAACAATGCAAGCTTTTTACAAATAATTTCAGCTGGATGTACGTTGGTGGGCGGGTGTTGAGAGTTACTGGGCGGCCGTAAAACTTGATGGGCGGGCCGCCCGCCTAAAACCCCTTGTGGAGAACACTGTTTGTGTTCTGATAATTGGTTCAAAACAGCTGGGCATGGGTGAGAATTTTTTTAAAAAATGTTTTCAAATTTTTCCCACTGGTTTTGAATAGTCAAATTATTTCTTCATATTTCAAAATTTTACATAGAATGAATAAAGTTATATTAAATATATCGCAAGATTGCAGTAGTTCTATGATTGACCTGTGGTGGTGCCATTTCTAAGTGATCTATACTAATCAATCGTATGTTATGAGGTTTTCTGTTAAAAGATAAAAAGCCTGGAATCAAGTTTTCCAGTATTTTCAAGAACAAACTTCATCCGGATGAAAAAAAAACAACAACAAAAATAGATATAATTCGGACCAAAAAATCTTTGAACTGTTTTATTTTCAAGTTTTCCAGATGTGATGTTAGAGAAAAGAGTCGTCTGTTCCCTATATATACGGGTTAATAAGGTTAATGTTTTGACTTATCTTCTGTAGAATCAACATACAGTAGAATGTTGTAAGGATGATGAAATTACGGCGACGAACGGTTGATGCACGCGAGACTCGAAACAGCAAGAAGAGTGATACAACCATGGCAACGGCAACCGAACTCCAGTCCCCCATAGTCGCGCCTGGTAGAGGTGCAAGGAAGCGCAAACTCTCGGGACAGTCTGAGGTAAGATATTATGCTACGTTTGCTTCAAAGTGTTATTTCAATTGTGAAATCAACATTAGATTAATGAGTAAAAACTGAAAATTGACTTGAATTCTGTCGGCTTCAAAATTAGGCTTAATTTCTAGAAATATTGAAGAATAAAAAAAAAAATGTTGGCGAGAAAGTCTGGTGGTTAAAAGGTTAAGATTTCATTAGATCGGTTGAATAATAAATGTACCAATTAGGCAACATCTGTCCCTCCCTATCAAATGGATTTTAATATGATTGTTGTAAATTAAACCTTTATTCATCTGACCATGGAGACAGCCAATTTCTGTCCTCTATTTGTTGAATTAACAAATTGACAGACGAATCTATGATCAAAATAAGTCGTACTTAATAATTCAGTATGCAATATATAGTATTTACTCCATTAGTAATACATGTATTTGCGTAAATAATATTGACAAATCTATGGTCAAAATAAGTTGAATTTCACTTACTGAGTAATCCAGTATAGGCAAATTTTACTTTAAGTATACATCTGCAACTAAAGTACTGTCTTATTCAGATGGGCATGCCTTCAAGGGCAGTGGTTAAATTTAGCCTGACAAGGTTGTGTGAATTGCGCCCTCTGCGGTGTCCCAAACCCGACACATGCCTGACAGAATGATGTAGTTTTTCACTTCCCCCGACGATTTTTTGTTGGTACCAATCAAATTGTGGGAACGTAAGAGTAACCATTCACGGCAGAGTTTGTTTGTTGACAAACTGTGTGATAAGGTGCTGGCAAATTTCCGACCAATGTTTATCATCTTGATTTTTGCCGACAAAGCAAACTTGGCTTTGTCTCCCTGGTTATGAGTGAGCATCTGTTATAGCCTGACAAAGTCGTCTGAGTTGCACCCTCCAACTGTGTTACCATAACCACCAAAATGAATACTGTAAAATCTGTATTAGAAACTGCGGCTTCTATTAAAATGGTACAATGCAACAGAGGGGATGCGGCTTCTATTAGGGATGCGGCTTCTAATACAGATTTTACGGTATTCATTGAAACTCATTCCAAGAAGGCGTGAACTTTGTGAATTCTCAGTATTCATCTTGCCGACGAGATCTACACTATTCTATCGGGCGTTAATGGGGTCTTATGCCATTCGGTCTGTGAGGGTGCCACTCAAGCCTACATGTCGGCCTATGATTCAATTTAGTCTATAACAATGTGTTTTACAAGCGTTGTATACCTCATTGTGGGTCTTCCATTGTGACATCGCATCAAGCAATCATTTTATTTTGACACTTGTGTGAGAATGATGATTTGAATAGAAATTCTCGATAGAGAAGGACTATAGTTTGCAGGGGTTAAAAAAATGCTGAATCCAATGTAAATGTAACGGCCGTTATTATCTTCTTTCTACAGGAAATAGATGGTAGCGCAGAAACGTCAACCGGCTTGTTTAGATCAATCAAAAAGTTTATATGGTCCACTCCTAAAACAGTAAGTGTACTTTTTCTCAGAATGTTATTTTCAAGATTTTATTCAGAATGGCTGACTGGTAGCCATTTTGTTTTTTACTCATTGTTTCTACCTGTTTTTGTAACATTTAGTCACAGTCAGCTGGCGTACAAGTGATAACGAAATAATTGCGATTAATTTACTTGTATGTACTACTGTAAAACACTGATTTTTGACGAGTTGAATGTAAAATACTGTAAAAGAATTAATTATTCACTGGGTTTTAATTTAGCTTATTTCGCTGTCTGGAAAATGCGCTAAATTAAAACCGAGTGAATATGTAAAATTTAGCATAGAACACATTATCTAAATGACGAAACCGTGAATTTAAAACCCACTGAATATGCCTGAAATGGTAAATCAGGGAAATTTAAACCCAGTGAAAATTAGTCATTTTACAGTATAGGAAAAAGGGTATGTTTGCTGGATTTTATTTTCACCGAATCATTCCTTCAGCGACAATAACAAAAATTAATTCGAAGCGAAAATAAAGTATTTTACAGTATACGGAAGCCGCGATCTTGAACTAAGCTGAGGGTGCTTTTACAAAATCATTCATGTGAGAGGGCGCTCTGCTGAGGTGGCCCTTGGTTAGTGCAAGTGATATGCAAGCATAGTGGTCACCTCGAATGTTATATACAATTTATCCTATTGCAGGACTCGCAGACTCCAGCTCGTAAGAGGCGGCGGCGTGGCGTTACAGATAACACAGGCGACGATTCGCTGATAACATCAACACCTGTTTTAAATAACAATACAATAAAACGATCGAGCAAAGTACAGAATGGAAAGGTTGCTACAACGAAAGCTCAGGAGGGCGGAGCCAAAGAAGATGAAACCAGAGCAAGTAAGTTTGCAGTGAAATGGCAGTTGAGGATGTTTGACTCAAATTGTTTCGTGAATGAATTCTACATTACTACAATACTGAACAAAAATGTGTTGTCCATCAAGGCACTGCCTGATGTAGCCTGCTAGCTTTTATTTATTTAGCTCTGTGGGAGTCTTAAAAATGCTTCTCATGTCAGCTTACTGTGTTTTTTTGCATTTGACTGAAAACGTGATATACTGTGGAATATTTAATTTTCGCTGGAATTAATTTTCGCTGAAAAGGCTTTTTGGTCGTTTTGTATGGAATTTATTTTCACTGATTTTTTAATAAGTTTAATGTGAAATATAGGAAAAAAAGTATATTCGCTGGATTTTACTTTCACGGAATCATCCTTTCAGTGAAAATAAATTCCAAGCAAAAATAAAGTATTCTACAGTATTGACAATCACGTGGTACATGATATTGACTATGGAATTTTAAATAGACCTCATCCATATACTATGTTTTAAATGAGATGGCATTTTTTCATTATATGCAATGAGAACTTTCCCGCATCAGTCTCGTTTCTATATGTGCCAAGAATTTCACAAATGCATTTAATAGTAGGCCATCATCATGTAACAGACCCAAAAAAAAATAAGAAGTTTTTCGGCAGTGCGAAGCGCTGCAGCCTGACCGGCGTAGGTGATCAGGGGTTGGGTGGCAGAAAGTACACGGCCAATTTGGGCCTGTAGCAGTAACCCCATGATGTGCATACAAATTTGGGACAACATTTTTTAACAGGACTTGAGATAGCACCCATTTCTAAGGTCACTTTTGAATGGCCTTAAGCATACAGGAATAACTAATATTGAAAGATACCAAAGTAAATGCCTTTGTTGCCTCTGTGAACTTCAAGGCCTTCCTTAAGACCACCGAATGTGGATAAACTCAAGATTACAAGAGGTGGGGGCTTGAAATGATAAGTTTGGGTAGCTTTATTTCTGCTGTTTTCAGCAAAAGTTGTCCAGAATCATTTGCAAGAAGTGTCTGACAGGTATTTTTTGTGTACTTTTTAGCTGCATCCCGGGCACACACTGAAGATTCCTTGAGTCCACCAAGGACAACACTTCTAGGGACAATCTTCTCTCCTGTATTTAATTTCTTTGGACACAATGGTAAGAAATCTGAGTTAATTGGTTTGTATGAATCATGTGATCAGTCTACACAGAGTTGATTGGTTTGTATGGGTCATGTGATCAGTCTGTATAGAGTTGATTGGTTTGTATGGGTCATGTGATCAGTCTGCACAGAGTTGATTGGTTTGTGTGAGTCATGTGATCAGTCTGTACAGAGTTGATTGGTTTGTGTGAGTCATGTGATCAGTCTGTACAGAGTTGATTGGTTTGTATGAGTCATGTGATCAGTCTGCACAGAGGTGATTGGTTTGTATGAGTCATGTGATCAATCTGCACAGAGGTGATTGGTTTGTATGAGTCATGTGATCACTTTGCACAGAGGTGATAATGTGTAAGGCATAGCCTGACCAAAAACATTTTTTTGTGAGTTCTAACCTCAGTGTCATAATGCATGCTTTTCATTCTCACTTTGCCTCTAAACATTTAGTTGGTTGTCACGACAACTTTCCATTTGTGTGTCTGACCCTCCATGTTCTGTTTGCAGGCATTTCCGAAAACAAAGAAAACCTTGACAACGTGGCATTAAAGCTGGATCTAAATGACGTTGCCATGGACACTGACGAGGTTTTCCAGTCAGAAGAAACATCGGAGGAAGCGCCAAATGTCAACGATGTAGGTAGAGGAATTCCAAATGAGGTTGTCATAGCAACTGAAGCTGTGTCAACTGAAGCCTCAGGTAAGATGAGGTCAGAACCTGTGGAATGACTACCACTTTGGCTCTATTTAAAGCTTTGACCAATTAGTATGGTTTTACTAAACAACTCAAATAAATTTTCAAATTTAAACCAAATGAGTTCTGTCAACTTGCATCATATCATAGCTTACTGTAAAATACTTTATTTTCACTTGAAATTAATTTTCGTTATTTTTGCTGAAGGAATGGTTCGGTGAAAATAAAATCCAGCGAATATACCTTTTTTCCTATATTTTAAATTCAAAAATCAATGAAAATAAATTCCATACAAATTAGAATAAAGTATTTTACAGTAACAGATAAAAATGTGCAATTTTTTATATGGAAACGCATCTCAACTTGGGTGTTCTAGTTCCATTTACCATCATTACTGAGCGTTTGCCGTTTCGATTTCGTTAACTGAGAATATAGGTTTTTATAATGAGGCAATGGCTGAATGAATGAATGAATCTTATTTAAAGATGAATCTAACCAAAGCTAACCAAAAAATGCATTTTTTTTGCATCATTAAAAATACATTTTTTTTTTACCACAGCAACATGCGTGTCAGTGACATAAATACATGCGCTACTAATAGAGCAAATATGGTATAGCATTTTGTCATTATATTATAAATGAACATTTTATTAGACGATAAAAATGTTCCTAAACATGACATAGCTTCATCTAATAATCTCTCCAGTAAATTAAGAATTGTAATTTTCTTTTTTGTCCAAACTCTTTTAGTGTACTGTTTTCCTTTTCACCACTAGTTTCCTCTTTTCTCACAAATTCACATAATAGTCCTATTTATAGTCCGCACTTTCCTTCAGAAGATTGAGACAAAAAATAGCCAAATTTTTGGAGTAAAACTGAAAATTGATTCAAATTTTGTCTGTTGGCTCAAAAAAATTACAGTTTATTCCCAGTAAGGCCAGACTTTTTTTATTCCTTGTTTCTCGAGTTTTTAGTCCCCGTTCGGACGAAGTCCGAAAATGGGGACTTGTAATTCGGTGTCCGTCCGGAGTCATATCTCAGAATCCCTTGGACCGATTCTGTTCATTCTTTGCATGTACCCAGTACTTTATGTGGGACATGTGCACATGCAGTGGTTTAGCGATTTGATTCAAAATGGCTGACTGGCAGCCATCTTGTTTTTTGAAAATGTTGTATTTTGGACATGCTTTGTCAGTTTTCATTCAAACTTGGTACACAGATTATACATGTTAGGATACATGTCCATGATGATTTATTTCGCAATTGGATCAAAGATGGTTGACTGGCAGGCATCTTGTTTTTGTTTTTTATGCGGTATCTTGGTCGTGCTCTGTCAGTTTCCATTCAAATTTGGCACATACATGTACTTTATACATGTTAGGATGCATGTCCATGACAATTTGTTTCAAAATCTGGTCAAGGATGGCCGATTGACAGCCATCTGACTTTTTGGCCTTACTACTTTATTTCCACAATTTATGTACCATTTTCATTCGTATTTGGCACATACATCATACATATCAGTGTGTTTCATAATCAGATCAAAGATGGACGAATAACGTTTATTTTATTTTTGGCTATATTACTACTACACGGAACACGTGTTTTGATGTAAATAAACAATCTGTTGTATACGCCACTTGGAACTCAAGTTTCAAGGACATGCTCGCGACAACTCCTCCGCTTTAATATGACGAGCGCAAAGAGAACTAAACAGGGAGTGTGTCATTTTCAATGACTTGTTATAAGGCAATTTTTTTGAGGAGGGCGGGAAAAAAAATAAAATAAATTCTTTTTTTCCATTAGATTTGTGTGATTCTCAAAGAATTGAAAGTGAGATCATTGATCGGAGAGTAGAAATGAAATAAAATTGTATTCCATGTATAACCTTGTTACTCATCTGCGCGAGACTTCGGTACTTTGATCATGATACTCCCAGGAAAATGCAACTTGGGTTTGTTATGCGGCGGGCGGAAGACAAAATGAAGATAAAAACAAGTATTTTTTAGCAATTTTTTACACTTACAAGTCAGCGGCGGGCGTGAGAAATTACGTTAAAATAAAATTCTATTTTTATTTTATTTTCGGCTCCTGTTCATTCGGCGGGTTCGCAAAACAAGGGATAATAAAAGTCTGGCCTAATATTGAAGAGTAGAACAAAAAAAGTGCAGACAAATATGGGCGAGAAAGTCTGGGGGCGAATGGGTTAAGCATGTTTGACAGAAGTCTCTCACACTGGTATGGCGCCCTCACAAGTCATATAGAGGAATCCCATTTTCAAGAATTTCATTTTTTCATGCAGTTTCATACTAATCAGGATTTTTGCTCACTCAAGTGCTCGCTCATATTTCCTAAGTTTTATTTCCTGACGAATTTTATTTCCTAGATGTTTATCTATCAAATGAAGCTCAAGACATGTCAGAAAACAACAACAACGCCAATATGCTGGTTCCACCGCCACTGATGGACGTTAACGGTACATGTAATGCCGAAATGTTGTCGACCAATGAGAGTATACGAAACATGGACAATGACCTTGAAGCGGATGAAGATATGGTGCCGACCATTGACGAGGATGATATATCTGACTGCAGTCTGGAAGAGGAGTGGGACACATTTGATCCGTAAGTAAAACATTTCGATGGTCTTTTTTTTTTTCATCTTTCAGACTTTCTCACCCAAATTTTTCTGCAATTTTTTCTGTGTTCTTCAATATTTCTGGAAATGAACCCCAATTTTAGTCCCATCTTCTGAAGGAAAGTACATTAAATAAGAATTGAACAAGAATATTTGTGAATTTGTGGTGAAAAGGGTAACACCTATTGTCTCCATCCATAGCTTTTATGGCTTAGACTGGTTTTAACTGGTTTAAACAGGTTTCCGTATGGATAAACTGCTTTAGACAGGTTTCAAGTTTACTTTGGTTAAACCGGTTCGACTGGATTCCTCTTTACACAGGTTTAAACCAGTTAAGGCAACTTTTTCAGTTTCCACATCATTAAACTTGCTTAGCTATGTTTCCCAGGTTCCACTGTATTAAACCGGTTTAGGCAGGTTTTAAGGTTTCCACATCATTTATACCTCTTTAGACAGGTTTCCACAGGATCAACATCAGTTTATATAGGTTTTCCAGTTTCCACAGCATTAAACACTGATTTAGGCAGATTTTCCAGTAATACAGCATTAAACACTGGTTTAGGCAGGTTTTCCAGTTTCCACATCATTAGACCTGTTTACACTGATTTTACTGTATTCGCTTTTCATCTGTTAGGTTTATTTTGTATTGCAGATACTACTTCATAAAGCATCTACCACCGTTACCAGAAGCAGAGAAGAATCGTAGACCAGTCTTGCCACTAAAAACGAGAAGTTCACCAGAGTACTCACTGGTACTTGATTTGGTGAGTCATAATGGGATACAACATTATTCCAACAGGGGTGGGCAGGATGGTAGTTGCTTTTCATGCATGTTTTCTTAGCATGGGCTAAAAATACCTTTGTCCGTGGTAAGAGAACGTGCATAGATGCTTATCATGAACCAAGAAACACTGGCACGTTTTTAAAATGCTGTCTAGATCCTTAGGCTAATGAGTGTTCGTGGATTTTGAGAAATTTTTCGAGAAAGTCTGGGGGTCAATAGGTTAAGCATGAAATATTGAAGAACACATTTTGAGAAATTTTTCACAAAATTTAGGAATATCAGTCTCGCGAAAATCACATGTATTCTCTCACTGAATTAACATGGTTTAATGGTTATAAACCCAAAGAAAACATGAAATGGGACAAAAAGGTTTTCACCCTACATTGCCATTGTTTACAACTTACTGTAAAATACCTTATTTTAGCTGGAATCAATTTTCGCAGAAAAGACTATTTGGTTGTTTTGTATGGAATTTATTTTCACTGATTTTTTGATGATTTGAATGTAAAATGCAGGAAAAAAGGTATATTCACTGGGTTGTTATTTTCACTGAAACATTCCTTCAGTGAAAATAGCGAAAATTAATTCCAAGTGAAAATAAAGTATTTTACAGTACCCTGACTTGTGTAATTTTTATTGCACATGCAAATTATATTGTAATATGCATTTTAGCCAGTAATTGGGTAAAGAAGATTGCTGCTGACAAGATTTTACCTGATTGGCTACCCAACCATGACTTTTAACAGGTCAGACCAATCAGAGGACAGCTTGTTGATGAATGAAATTCTGTCTTGTTTATATGTAAATTCAATATATTTTTGTTTACAGGATGAAACCCTTGTACATTGTAGCTTGAATGAATTAGATGACGCCAATTTGACATTCCCAGTTGTATTTCAAGATATAACCTATCAGGTGAGTAGAGTGCACCATTTGA